GTAATTCTCAACCGCTTGGTCTGGGAATTAGACTGTGCAGTTGTCCGTGTGGGATCCAGCACCTTAACCTCCATGCCACCTGCTGGCCTGAGCCTTCCATATTCTTTTTGTTGTTGTTGTTGGGGGGGGGGGGGGGGTTTTCCTTTATAGAAACGTGTCGACAGACAGAGAGAGAGAGAGAGACAGAAAGTGAGAAATCTCCCCCCAAGGGAGATGGTCACACCACAATCCCATCTCCTCCATTCTCCTCTCAGATCTTGGGCAAGCACGCACATGTACCCAGAGTGAGTTTAAGCCACCGGGTCCAGGACTCAAACTGCACTTGACTACACGGGAGTCCAGCAACATAGCCATTTTGCCAACTGCTGGTCTCAAGCCCTGTGTTTTCTTAATCCTCCTTTCCATCCTGCTACTTGCCTCTCTTCTGCCTGTCCACTGATATCCCATGCCCTGTATAGCACCATTATTACCCAGGACTGATCACCTCCTAACCCTTTTCTCTACTTCTGGAAAGAAAGCATATAATCCACTAAGCCACACAGTTACACTAAAGACTCTAGCACTTAATACATATGAGGAGGATCTTCAAAAAAATGCATGGAAAATACCTATTATGAAAAAACTATGCATGAATTTCATTTTTTTGCACCAAAATATACTTGCACTTGCATTATATTTTTTCATGAACTTTCTGAAGCCCCTTCATATATGTGACACAGAGATATTTTTTGAGACAAGGAGATGGTGTAAACACAAAATACAATTGACCCTGAACAAGATAGGTTTGAACAAGATGGGCACATTTGTATATGGATTTTTTTCAGTAACCTTACTGGAAAATACAATGTAGTACTGTAAATATATTTTCTCTTTCTTATGTTTTTTATTAATGTTTTCTTTTGTCTAGCTAAATTTATTATAAGAATGCAGTATATAATACATATCATGTACAAAATATGTATTAACTGGTGCTTGTATTGTCAATAAGGCTTCTAGTCAAATGTTAAATGTAATTTGGGGGAGTCAAAAGATATACGTGGATTTTTAACTGTGTGGGGTGCGTACTTCTAACCCCTGCATTGTTTGAGGGTTGACTATCTCAATTGCAGAATCTGACACTAAACCAGAATGGGGAGAGTATTCCTAGGAAATTGTTCTTCCAGAAATGTCATACTGAGTATTAACCCAGATAAGGAGTGATGCCTAATAGAGTTTCAATAATGGAATCAACAATGGAATTCTTCTATGAGAGAGCTGAGCTTATAGATTTTTAAAGTTTCAGGCCCTTCTTCAGTAACCATTTCCCTCCCTACCAAACTGAAATTCAGCTAATCAATTGCTCCTTCATTCATTCATGATGCTTGCTGATTCCAGAGGGCCCAGCCACTGTGGCACAAGTGGCAGGAAACTGTTGTACCAGGCCAAGGCCACATGGGAGACCTGAGTTCATATCCTGAGCATGCCACACGAGTAATGTCATGTGCCTGTGAATCCGGCTGGCTGTGAGGTGGGAGGGAGGATGGGAGGATTGCAGCATGGTGACATTCTGCTGAGTTCCTTTGCTTTCTTCTTCTCTTACTCCTTCTCTCAATAGATAAACCTTTTCAAAATTAGAATTGCCTTTAAATATGCGTGTGTATATGTATATACATATGTATATATATACACACACACATGCAATTCTATTTATATACACACTATATATATATATACACACTATTAATATACATATATATATATACACACACACACGCATATTTAAAGGCAATTCTATATAGGTATATATACACACACACATATATATATATATACACACACACTACGTATATATACACTATATATATATATATACTCTACACACATACACAATATACACACTATACAAACACACACACACACACACACACACACACACATACATACACAAATTCCTTGAGAGGTAGCATAGCATGAGGAGGGCTTAGGGAGTTGGACTTCCTGGTTGAAACTCCTCACTCTGCCTCTAAGATAGACAGATAGATATATATGTACATACATATACATATGTGTGTGTTTGTGCATGCACATGTGTGTATGTGTATCCATGTAGAAGATCCTTCCCCACCCTGATGTCTCACTTTTCTGACCTATCTAATTGTCTTCTTGTCTTTCATTCTGCCTCAGCCACCCATAAACCTTGCCTTTGTAAATAACCACACACTCTACAATATTCCAATTTCAATGCTTTCCCTCTCTAGCTTCCTCCTTTTGTCTGTCTAGGTGACTCCCTCCAGTCCTCTGGTTCCAGTAATTCTTTGGCCCCACCACAATCACCAATCCATTGGTTCTATCATAATTTTTACAATCCTTCACCCTGCATACCCTCATTTCCCTCCAAGCCCATCTCAGATGCCAAGGTCCCTCACTGCAATTCCTTTCTTGTGTACCCCTCCACTCTTTTGCCCTCATTCTCCTTGTACTCACTTGTTTGGATTATAAACTTAGTTAAATCTGACTATCTGTTCTTTGTCATCAAAGCATCTGCATATAGCAAATAAAATGATGTCACATGGTTTTAATTCCATGAGTACTAAGCTCAATGGAGCCATCAGTAGTGTGAGGACCCTTTGAGAGGCAGCATAGCATGAGGAGGACTTAGGGTGTTGGACTTCCTGGTTCAAGCTCCTCACTCTGCCTCTAAGATAAATCATTGGGGCTATTTATTTCCACTTTCTATGTCTCAGTCTTTTCATCTATAAAATGAGAAGAGTTATACTTATCCCTGTGACTACAATGAGAATAAATGAGTTAATATATGTAAAGTGCTTAGTAAAATTCCTGGCTGTACTAGTCCCATACAATGGCATGTTACTATTATTCTCCTAATACTTTTCCTGGGTCCACTTATTCTCCAAGAAAACCATGTATTATCTCATGTACTCTTTCTCTAACCTCTGGTTCCAGTTCACTTTTTTCACTGGAATTAATGATCTTGATCCCTATTATACTGAGAAAATCAAAGTAAACAAAAAGAAATTTTCTCTACCCCAAGTCAGCTAACATACCTCGACTATATCTATATGAGTCTGTGTCATCTGCTATGAATGAACTCTGTGTTTCTGTCTGAGACCAACCACTTCACCATGCCTGTGGTCCAGAACATCTGACCAGAAGTTTCCTCTCACTTTCTTGGATCATTCATCCTAGGAGGATGTTATCTACATTCCATAGTAACTGATCTTCCTTGATCTACCAACCTCAAGGTATCTACCCATTCCTCTCTTCCTTCTTCATTGCAAAACATCTACATCAATGCCTCTATATCTTTATTTCCCATTTTCTCCTACACTCTCTCCTATAATGCTCTTTTCAGCACTCTGCCATCAATAATTCTTTTATTATAGTTACCAATAATCACTATGCTACCAAAATCATGGGAATTTCCTGGTCCTTGTTTTACTCGATATATCAGTGGCATTTGCCATGGCCAATTACTCCCTCCTGGAAACATTTTTCTCACTTGGCTTCCAGGATACCACACCATCATGTATCTCTTCTTTTCTCCTGGGCCAGACTTCTTCAAGACTCTTTCATTATTTCCTTCTCATATTCTTGACCTCTAAATGTTGCAGGACCTATGGATCCAACCCTTGGTCTTCTTTTTGTTTCTGCTTGTACTGACTTCCCTGGTGATCTTAACCAGTTTCAAATGTTAAATGCCATCTCTAAGCTGATAATGTTCTCCAGGTATCCTCAGTGCTCATTTTATCACTTCCTTCAGGTCTCAGTTAAAATTTTGCCTACCAGAGGGGCCTTTCCAGGTCGTTCTAAATGAACTAGTGTCCCCACTCTATATCCCCTTGCACTGTTTTATTTTCTTCATTGCACTTTTATCCTTCCAATATCTGAATATGCTAAAGAAAACAATGTCAAATGGTTTTATTCTGATGCCATTGAGTACTAAGCTCAACAGCGCTTGTTTGTATATTGAAAGCTTTTTGAGAACAAGGACACTATCTACCTCATAAAGAGCCTTACACTTAGAAAGTTATCAATGTTCGCAGAGTAAGTACTCAGTCTCGTTCCGTCATGACAATACCCCAACAATCCTTTTAGAAGGATTATTACTGATGAAGAAACAGAATCAGGCTAACTCAGTGCTACATAACTAGCAATTCAGACAGCCTGACCCCAAAGCACACACCTGCTTGGCAAGCTACAGAAGCCAGAAGGATATTAGGAGCCAACAACAGAAGGGGACTTTTTTTAGGTACAGAGTTTATCTTGAAGATAATAGAGAACCACAGAGGTGAAAGTGGTGAGAGGGTGAGGAAGTGACCTGCCCTTGATAACGTGCTGATTCCTTCCAAAATATGTACATAAATGCTCATCCCCAGTTGCTAGGTCTTTAAAACATGCCAGTGTGGAGGTTACATTGGTATTTCTTTGGAAACTTTAGGCCAACTCTGTGTGTATGTGTGTGTGTGTGTGTGTGTGTGTGTGTATGCATTCACATATGTTCTGCTAGAATCAAACTGTCCTGTGCTGACAATATTTAAGTCAGATTTGGTTAAGCACTTCAAATCAACTTTACGTCGAGGTCTGTGGAATTGAAAACCTTTCTTGCTGTTTCCATAGCAGCCTGGTAGTTGACATAATTCCTAAAGAAGCTTATGCGTTAATGCCCAAGAACCATTTACTATGCACATGCACCACTGAATCAAAGTGCTTTGGACTTGAGCTAGGTATACTAGCAAAGTATTAAGCTATTTAAAGAACATATTATAGTTCAAACTATAGATAAAAAGGATAGAGTTAAATGAACTTTCAAAATATCTGTGTTGTAAATACTGGACTTCATTCATGTTTAGTACTCTGTGGATTCTGACCTTTCAGATACCTGAAACATGAGGGTGGTCAGATGTAAGAGACAATACCATGTAGACAATAAATGCATTTTGTTAAAAGATGCTAACATGTTTCTATGGTGAAGTAAATGTTTGTTTGTTTTTGTTTGAAAGGGAACTGGTTGTGCACCCTCCAATACCTCCAAAGCCCAGTTCTCCGCTTTCTTCTCCTCACCAGCTGAGACGAGATAACAGGTAGGACCTAGCACTCCAGAGTTTCTTGGCAAAATGAAATTCAAGGGAAACGAAAGCAAATGAATTGTGCACTGATTTGTCCAAAGCATGGGCATGTTTGGTGTGTGCACTCACTAAGGAAGAGCTTGTTGACCTTTTCTGACTTTATTTGTCATCAACTCATAGCTATTTATCTATCTCTCTATATATAATATATTTATGTTTGTCTTTGAATGCTGATGGCTATTTCTTGTCTTATTGCAATACGCCTTCAATATTAAAATGCAGTAATATTTATGTTCCGGAAGTATTTGTGTTTAGCCTTCTTATATGTTAGCTCCTAATATATAAATATAAGATATGTATTTTACATGTATGCTTTATGATATAAATAGAAACTATATTAAGCAACATATATACTATATATATTTGGTTTGTATTTACTGTATGTCTGTTACTCTTAACTTTCACATTAAGAGTTATGTATTCTGGTGAAAAAAAATTCTTGAAACTTCATTTCTACTCAAATTTTCTATTATGTTAGAACCTTTAAATAGGGGCTGGCAGGTGGCATGTTAGTTAAAGGTGCTGGACTCCCACGTGGCTGACCATTGATTGAGTCCCGGACCTGGCAGCTTACTTTCTCTCCCTCTCTCTGTGCCTCTCTGATCAAATTAAAATTAACAAATAAATAAATAAAGTTAAATAAAATAAATCTTTAAAGAAGAAATGCCTCTAAATAGTTCTTTAATTTTTTTTAGCTAATTTGTAATGTATTTCCAAACTATCACAAATTTTGATAAATTTTGTTCTCATAAACTTCTCTCCAAATCAGGAAATACAGACTTGCCTTTCTGCTTTAAATTGCTCACTCTATAGTTAATACTTAGAAACAAATTCAGAGATCTGAAAGTATTCTCATGTGTTCCTATTAAACAGTTTAATAATCTTGAGCCATTTTTTGAGATGTACATTTTATATTTCCATTTTTATTATTGTGAGATTAAAAAGTGGTATTTCAATGAAGACTGCATATATTAGATCTGCTTGATTGCCTGCCTTTAAGTCTTTTATATTTTTGCTTTTTGATGGTGAGTTTTTTGACACAAGGCAAGGCCCAATTATAGAATTATTCTTCAATATGACATAACTATAGAAACTCTCTTTAGTAAGAACAATTATAGAAATAATTTTCAGTGAGAGAGTAACGAGTAACTTCAGCTAGAAAATGCTGGGTAGCAGGCCTAAGTAACATTAGACATTCATTCTGTTAGGTTAATACTCTAGATGTTGAGTTTCTAGTATGTGAAACTTACCAGGACTTTTGAAATGTTGTCCTTAGGATGAGAACATAATTTTTAAAAAATGAATCAAGAGAATATTTCGCCACTGAACTAATTAAAAAATATAGATCCAATTTATAACTTTTTATTTGTACAATGGTTATAACTATCCCTTAAAAATGACTTCTCAGGCTTATTGTATTACACTATTTTTCCTTTTACTTCCCTAGTATTAAGCAATTAAATCTTAAGTTAAACAGGATTCTTTGTAAGGGGCTAAAATAAATGGACCTTGTTACTACCTAAATCTAATTTAAATCAGTGATGCTGGAGCAGTGAGCTTGTTTAGATTCAAAAGAAGTTAAATTTCACAGAAATTTGTCTGATTCATTTTTACTACTCCAATTTCTTTCTTGCACCACTGATCTGAAAAATAAAACTAGGACAACTTGCATGTTTTTTAAACCCTGATTACTTTAATCACAGGAAGATGATTTTAATGAAAGAATATGAAAGGGAAGTGTTTCCTATGTAATTAACACATGTCCTCAGGAGTACAAAAAAATAGTTGAATATAACTTCTTGAGCACAAGGAAGAATTGTGTAAGTGGGTCAGACAGATACTTAGAAAAAAAGTACGGAAAAACTTTATATCATAAAACTGTGACAGAACCTAACATAGTAAGATTTAGTTCTGTCAGCACAATGTGGCCATTCTCAATGTAATAGGTGTTCTTGAAATAGATACTTATTTTCTATCTTACCTGAGCAAGTGTATGTATTTCCTGATAATGCCAAATTTGGATAAGCTTTAAGAAAAAAATTATCTCTTGATATCTGATATAAATTCCTAATATTTAAAAATATTCTATTATCATCATTAGATAAGCATGAAAATGCTTTATTGATGAGTGGATACCAAAATAAATAAACATGAATATATTTAGAACAGATATTTCTAGATACCCCCAATGGTTAAAAATGACATGAAAAGAGGCAAAACCAAAATTAATACACTGGATGTTTTAGACTTTCCAATAGAAGATGGTAGAGTTCAAACCAACATAAAGAGCTCAGTTAAAGTTTGTTATCTCAGAGATGGTAGGTGGTGTGGTGAAAGGTGCTGGACTCCCACATGGCTGACTGCAGTTCAAGTCTCAGACCTGGTAGCTTGCTTTCTCACTCTCTCTCTCTCTCTCTCTCTCTCTCTCTCCTGCTCTGTCCTTCTCTGGCCAAACTAAAATAAGTAAATAAAATAAATCTTTGAAAAAAAAGTTTTGTTATCTCAAGTAATAGTATGGTTTCAATGCATGTTAATCTTTTTGAATATAAATTTTCTTATAATTTTAGATTTAACAGAGGGGTGTTTTCTTAACTAACAGATATTATCTTTAACTATAAAAATATAGGCAAATATGTCCACCTAAACCAAGCATGCATTCAGAAACCAACAGATCTGCTGAAAGAAGTACAAGGTACCATGAGCTCTAGCTGTGCCAATGTAACTGTAACAATGATAAAGTATGCTTTACTAGAACACAGTAAAAACAAAAAATGAGGGGGCCAGCAAGTGATATATTGGTTATATCCCTTGACTCCCACATGGCCAACCATGGTTCAAGTCCCAGACCTGGAGACTTGAAACTCAAGATGGGTGCATGCATGTGCATGTGTGTGCCTGTGTGTGCATGCCCGAAATCCCAAGAAGAGAACGGAGGAGAAGAGATTATGGCATGACCATCCCCATCTAGAGGGTGATTTTTCGCTTTCTTTCTCCCTGTCTCTCTGGTGAGTGCATGTGCCCTGTAACAAAAATCTAAATAAATAAATAAATAAATAAATAAATAAATAAATAAATAAAACAAAGACCAGCCAGTAGCATGATAGTTTAAGTGGTTGGGCCTCACATGGCTAACAGCATGAAAATCACGTGTGTGCGTGCCCAAACCCCCAAAAGAGAAATGGAGAAGGAATCGCATTAGGACCATCCCCTATGGAGAGTACTTTCTTACTTTCTCTCTCTGTGTCCCTCCTTGGTAAATGTGTGCCCTCTGGCAAATCACACACACACACACACACACATACACACACAGACTTTTCCCTTTGGAAATTTGAGAAGACATTTTCACCCATTTTGAGGGATGAACTAATTCTCTAGATCCATTGCTTAATGTTCCTTGAATCTGGTAAAAAAAAAAACTTCTGAACTCACTCCTGTGTTTGCCTGTTCAACTAAGTGTATTTTGTTTTCCATGTCCTTTTTAAAGTATAGAACTTGGGACGTGCCAAATACAAGTCCTTAAGAGAAAAAAATGTAGTTAATTTAGTGAGCACTAGATGGCAGAGCCAACACCCAAGTGGAATGACAGAGTGAGATGTGTGTGAGAGAGAGAGGGAGAGAAAAGGAGAGGAAGGGAGAGGGAGAGAGAGAATGGGGGATGTGAGTAGCTCTGTGTGCCATGAGCTAGTGTCATAGAATAGAACCATTGTGTTATTCTGCTAATTCAATAATTCCTGAACCCCTCAGGGACTATCAATTTCATCACTAAAAACAGATGAAAACTTCTAGTTCCTTTAAATACAACTCTACTGTCATTGACTTGTATTTCTTTTTCATCATTTGAAGGAGTCAGGATCTCAGTCCCATCGTCAAAGCAGCCACTTCACTGCAGAAAACAGACAAGGGGTAAGAGCTTTTTTTCCCTCTTTTTTATATTTAAAAAAATGCTTAGCCAGTACCTTTATAAGTTGCAAATATGAATGAAACCCCTGTTCTGTTTATTATATATAATTTAAAAGAAGAAAGCATCTCTAGATGCTTGATAAGTCACTAGGTAAGTGCCCCTGAATAATGGATGGTGCTGACATTTATGGACACTCTTCCTCTGCTGAGGCTTGTGGTGAATTTAGTCCTCTCAGTGACCTCAGCTGTTAAACCTTGTTCTGAACCTCTAGTCCTATGTTTAGGTTGCTGACCCAGATCTCAACTTACCTGTCTCCCCACACCTCGCTTAAGATGCCCTGGGTCATGTTCAACTTGCTTCTCAATTATGCTATTTCCTGGGCTACTGCTCTCTTCCTTCATTCCTGCAGGCTCACATTGCTGGCATCATTCTAGATTCTTCTTTCTTTCCCCTGCTGTGCGTACCAGGCACCTATGGGCTAAATACACGCCTCTCATGACCACACAGTCTCGTCCCAGTCAAACTCTCAGTACCTCTGGCATAGGTCATTAGAGTAGCTATCCAGATGTACTTATGGCCCTTCAGTCTCTCCTTCCACCACTTCCTTGTACCACCCTTCAATGCCAGAATTGTCTTCCTGATATTCTGCTCAATCACTGCACTAGCTCCTCATTGAACATTCAATTATATCTAGACTTATTTGAAGCCTTTGCTAACCTGGCTACAGTCTAACATTCCAAAGTTATTTCTGATTTTACCCTTAGCCAAGGAGACTTCAAAAAGTGAATGGAAAATGAAATGAAAGCATAAGTCTATTTGGGTGCAATTTTTTTTTTCAAAATAATACATAGTTTTGAAGTTCCTTCACCCCTTGTATCTATCCTGGACTTAATGTCAAACTAAATTGCCTCCTTCTATAGTCTCCAGTTATTCTGATTATTTATGCCACATGGTGACCTTTTCCAGACTCGAGGTCAAAACACAGTGATTCATCCAAGTTCTATCCATGTTTCAAGATCCAGATCAAATATGAATGATGGGGGGTGATGTGACTTCTGCCCCTCTAAGCTACTAGAGCTCCCCCCCGACCCCACTATTCAGATTTTATAACCGTCAGATGTGACTGTTTCGTGTTATTTGTATAAATGTGTCATCTTCTCTGTAATCGCTACAGTTTCTCTGGGCAGATATTTTGTCTTATTCACCAGTGTCTTTCACAGAGGCTGACATGATACTTTATACAAAGAGGTGTTTACATACTAGAGTATAGTAAAATAATGATGAGCAGTGAGACAACCTTCGTATAAACATTCTATCATTTCAATCCAAAACCTGCAAGTATTTCTCTTGTTTCATGGACTTTACTAATACGAAGAAGGTGCTAGAGGGACCAACAGGTGGTGTGGTCGCTAAGGTACTAACTAGATTCCCACATGGCTGATCACGGTTCAAATTCCAAACCTAGGGGCTTGAAAATCATGCTGGTTGCATGTGCATGCATGTCCAAAATCCCAGAAGGAGAATGGAGAAGGGATGGTGGCATGGCCATCATCCCAGGGGGTGATTTCTCATTTTCCCTCCTTCTGTTTCTCTCTCCAATGAGCACATATGGAAAACATCTTAAAAGAAAAAAAAAAAACAGAATGCTGCTGGAGATTATAGTCTCAGTCAAAAAACTGAAGGGCAGTAACAAAAATAACACTTCACGTTTTTGCGCGTGTGCCTATTTATAAACAAGAATCTCCAAATCCAGAGACTAGAAAATGTCTTGAACATTTCAGTTCCATTTCTTATTCTACCTAAGTGCTTAGATCTTTCTTTTTATTTTTGAGAATTACTTTTTAGTGGAATTAACTAATTAATTAATTAATTTATAATTTGACTAGAGAGAGACAGAGTGAGAGAGAGAAAGTAAAAAAGCAAGCCGTCAGGTCTGAGACTTGAACCATGGTTGACAATGTGGGAGTCCAGCACCCTTAACCACCATGCCACCTGTTGGCCCCCTAAGTGCCTAGATCTTTCATTGTTTTGATTTGTTTTTGTTTGAGGCAATGTTTTGTTCTCAATAGGGATTAGACAATTTTTTTGGTGGGTGATGGGGGTCTTTAAACAAAAGGTAAGTGAATGGGATCAGCAGATGGTGTAATTGTTACATTGCTGGATTCCCACATAGTAAATTGCTGTTCAAGTCCCGGACATGGCAGCTTAAAACTCATGCCAGGCATATGTGTGTGCGTGCCCAAGATCCTGAGAGGAGACTGGAGAAGAAGGGATTGTGGTGTGGCCATCCCCCGTGGAGGGGATGATTTCTCACATTCTGTCTCTCTCTGTCTCTCCAGCAAGCGCAGGCACCCTATAGTAAAAAAGCTCTCTCTCTCTAAATTAAAAAAAAAAATTAAAAAGAGAGGGATAAATGAGAAATGCTGAAGGAAAATTATGGTTTGTTATAAATAAAATAAAAACAGGAGTGACTTAAACTTTCATGCCCCCCACTTTCTAGACACAAAGTACACATTTCACAGTGGGGCACATTCATCAAGAATAGAACTTGCTTCTTCAACAGGGATCAGGGAAATGTCTAGCGCATCAACATATTTGTCCCAGAGGATTGTTACTGCAGGTTTCCCAAAGGGACTAGAAATAGCTTTATTTATCTGAGCTGCTGTTCTTTGTGAAATGGAGAGTTACTGCTATCTGATTAAGAACATTTAATTTGTTACAATTGCAGTGGTAAAACTTAATATCCAAAACTTTCATCAATTTAAAGTCATTTTGAAGTTCAAGTTTTTTACTCAAAATACAGTCTCCATTTATTTCATTTACCACAAAGTGTCTTCTCATGATTTATGTGAATTTTCTAGTGATAAACAGGAGCATTCCCCAAATGTGGATAGTCTCATCCCTGTGGCTCATACAAGTTAGAAAGGTCTGGGGCTAAACCGGATGCGCTTTCCTCAGGAATGCAGATTCACATCTTCAGAGTTGGCAGGTGGAATGCCAAACAAGAAGCAAAGAAGGGACATTGCATCAGAGGACTGAGTAGTGCTTGTTCCACAGAAAGATAGAGAGGTTATCAATATTTTGCCAGGAGCAGCAATGTTTAGATTTCAGTATTTATTCTCTGCCTTCGACCCTACATCAAATATGTAAGATTACTTAAAAAGATTCATCTATGTGATGATTGTTAATTGCACATATTTTTTTAGGGTCTCTAAGAGGACTGTCCTCTGCAGTTACTCTAGAGATAGTACTGTGTCAGGCATCTTCAACGCACAGATGTGACTTAGCAACTATACTTCTCTAAGACTAAACTAAAGTCTTGTGTCTCTAGATGAAGTTAAAAAGCATGGAGAACAACTGTGGTTTCCAGAGACTGTGTGGAAGGAGACTGGGGAGCTGGGGAGAGTGGGAGGAAGGAAATCAAAGGGAAAAAGAAAGAAACAAAGCATTTAAGGGTCACCAAAACAGGCAAAAATCTAAATATTGGAAGCAGTTGTTAAATTAAAAAATTTAGTATTGACAGGACACTAATATAGTGGCCAAAATTGAGAGTTTGTGGCTTGCCAGGCACCATGTTAAACACTGTATATCCATTAATTTACAAATTTCTTTTTGATGTGGGTATGACTAATATTCTCATTTTATAAATGGGAATATTGAAGTAGCAAGAGGTTAGTTCGGTAACTTACTCAGGGTCACCAATGAATAAGTGGTGAATCCTGGATTGGAATCTAAGGATCCTTAAAACCTGAATGTGTAGCTATTAAATTACTGGGTCTCCCAACCTTCTGGCAACCAACACCACGGATGACCGAGGAAGAAAGAGGAACACTGAGAAAACTTGAGGAATGTGAGAGTCTAGAGTAGGAAGAAGGGAAAACTCAGATTTGTGAATGAAACAAATGGATGACAAAAGAAAGATGGCGGTGGAGGGTGGTGGAGAAAAAGGCTGGGAAGAGGACATTGTGTGAGGAGGGAACAGGAGAAAGAAACCAAGAACACTTTCACAACCATGCTCCTCTACCTCACCCTTCTACCTGGGGAAGAAAGATGAACCCAGGTAATTTCAATGAAATTCCTGACCCTAAAGCTGTAACTTAAGTAGGTTTATTATTATTTTTTTAAAGAGGTTTTTGGTATAGGGTTAAGTATGGTTGCTGGAGAGACAGAGAGACAGAAAGTGAGAAATCATCCCCCACCGCAAGGCCACAATCCTTTCTTCTCCGTTCTCTCAGGATTCTGACCACAGATGCACATACGCCTGCCATGAGTTTTAAGCCGCCGGTCCAGGACTCAAACCGTGGTCGACTATGTGGGAGTCCAATGATGTAATTATTGTACCAACTGCTGGTCTCAGTTTTAAAACTAGAAACAAGTTAGGAATTTAGCTGACCTGTAACACGATAGGAGTAGAATTCAAGAAAGAAGCCAGTGTTGCTGATGAACTGTGTTCTCCAGCTGTTACTTTCTTTGTAAGCATACACTGTGCAAAGATAGAGGCCTTGATTAGTCAATATTTGTTGATTTAGTTTAAAATGTGTGCTGGGCATCTACTGTATAAAAACACTATTAAAAATGGAAGCAGGATCAAATGTAAAACAATTCTAAATTTTAGGGTGTGTGTGTGTGTGTGTGTGTGTGTGTGTGAGAAAGAGAGAGAGAGAGAGGGAGAGAAAGAGAATATGTATTTTTGTGAACAGGTGTGCAACTGCCATATTACTAAGATGGATAACCAAAGCACTATAAAGGAGATGCAAAAGTACTAAAATGCTAAAAGGGCTTCAACCATGTAGGGAACTTTTCAGTAGGACAACCAAGAAAAGCTTTCTGGAGAAAGTATTTGAGGGGAACTTTGAAGAATAACCAAGATTTTCAGAGATGGAAAAAGTGGGACATGCGCTATATTTCAGAGATCTCAGATCTTGTTTTAAGGTGAATCTACTCTTGACTCCAGACAGGCTTTTACTGATGTTAGTTTGTTGTTGTTGTTTTGTATTTTATCTCCTACAAAAGTGAAGAATTGGATAATCTCATTAAAATGAACAAAAGTTTGAATAGGTAAGATTTTTTAAGTGTCTATTTTTTATTTTTGCTTTATTACTGAGTTTCACAATATAACTTCTTACATCTTTTCAGTCTTTGAGTGTGAGAACCCACATACCAGCCTAGTTAAAAATATCCTACAATACATACAGTTAACATAGTGTACTGTATATTTCAAAGTTGCTAAGAGTATAAATTTCAAATGTTCTTACCACAAAGAATAATAAGTATATGAGATGATAGGTATGGTAATTAGTTTGATTTAATTATTCTACATTTTATTCATAAATCATAAGATCACTTTATACCCTATAAATATTTACAATTATAAATAGTCAATTTATAATAAAAACAATCTAATTAAAACCCTACAAGTCTTGAATAAAAAGCTTACAGAAATAATCTTACTGTATGAATGGTTATTAAAGTCTAAAAACACTACTATTGAAGAGTGATTTTTTTTCACTTTATTATTTTTTAAGGCAGTTATAGAACTAAGCACACAGGTTTTTGCTGTAGGATGTGTGTGCCTATACCCGAGAGACAGAGACAGGCAGACAGACAGAAAGCTAGAAATTACCCCCCAACCCAGGAAGATGGCCATGCCACAATCACTTCTCCATTCTCCTCTCAGGATTTTGGGCATGCATGCAAATGCTTCTGGCATGAGTTTTAAGTCTCTGGGTCCAGTACTCAAACTGCAGTTGATGGCATGGGGGTCCAATGACATAACCATTATGCCACCTGCTAGTCCCTTGGCTTAGTTTTAATCATTACACTTATTGTCTTAATTAACATCATGTCCTTATTTTGAATCATTCCTAATTGCATAACTTTAAGTATGCTAAGAAAAATGACTAATTGAGTCTATGGCAGAGATGTAGACAATTTTTAGGTGTCTCTGTTACTTGGCATACTAACTATTAAATGGGCAAGGGTCAACAAGGAGGAAACAAGTCAATTTCGAAGAAATGAGTTGACCTGAGGATCAAGAGGTGTGGGTCTTAGACCCTGATCTCAGTACTGATCTGTGTGATGACCATGATGCATCACTTACACTTGCTGCTTTTTTTTTTTTCTGATTTTTTTTTTTTGAGAGGTTTTTCACTATAGGGTGCATGCACTTGCCAGAGAGAGAGACAGAGAGACAGAAAGAGAGAAATCACCCCCCAGAGGGGATGGCCATGCCGCAATCCCTTCTCCTCCATTCTCCTCTCGGGATCTTGGGCATGCACGCACATGCGCCCGGCGTGGGTTTTAAGTCACCGGGTCCGGGACGCGAACCGCGGTCGACTACGTGGGAGTCCAGCGACATAGCCATTACGCCAACTGCTGGTTCCCCACTTGCTGCTTTTCATTCACTGAGACAAAGTTTTCAGTCTGAAGGTGCAGACTCCATGGCCTCCGAGGCTCAGCCGTGTAATGAATGAAGGGGGCAGACTGTATTAAACTTAGGCAGTGAGAGAACTTGGCAAGAAGGAGAGCTACCGCCCTCCAAAGCAGTTTCCAGCCCCAGGCGAGAGTTAGCACATGTAGACTTGAACCATGTCTTGTGAACATTTTCAGGAGATCCTGAAAATCTAGGTTTCTACGTGTCAGGGCCCTTTTGTAAACATTGACACACATTAAAAATAAGAACATTTTATGAATCCACATAACACATCTATAGACCTAATAGTGCTTGAAGATCCCTAGGTTAGATATTTTTATTTTATTTTTTTCTAAGGTAGACTACAATTTAAATTTTGAATCTATAAAGATACCTGTTTGGAATAAAGTAATCATAAGGATTGTAGCTATTGTATCTATTTCCTGTCTGAGATACAAACTGGTCTACTTTTTATGGAGAATTAAGCATCTGTTATTACCACTGATGATTTTTTTAATCAATATGTTTAAAGAAATCAAGGTCTTGATGGTCTCTTCAGAGCGAATCCAAGGACAGATCAAACAGACAAAAGGTAAGTGCATCTTTCTGCAGTCTGAAAGTCCTGCCTCCCAGATTGCTTGTTTGAGTCCTGCAGACATTAGCTGGAAGGAAGACGCATCCTCTGGCATGGAAATGTGCTAGCAGATGGGGCAGAGCTCAGCATTGTACATTTAGTTCAGATGTAATTGCCCAGAAGAATTTCAACTCTTCCATTCAATAGGAGTAAATGAGCAATTCATGGAGAATGTTTACTGTTTCTGACCTTCCAAGATACTATACAATCACATTTTAAAACACAGAGTTTTATTTGAATTTCGTTGTGTCGACAGGGCCAAAAGCCTGGAAAGTCTCATCCATGTGAATACTGGGACCGACAAAGATGGCAAACGGTAAGATTTGACTAAGACAGGCCACTGTGAGTCCTAGACTGTATACTGTTTTCTGGGTAAGGGTCAGGCAGGCTGGTGGAACAGTCCTGAGGCCAAGGTCAGGAGATGGCGAGGTAGTGGTTCTTGCTTTGTTACCAACATCAAGCTGAGTGACCCTGGGCAAATCACTTCATCTTTGGAGACCTCTGTTTTCTCACCCTATAAAAAAAAGTATATTACTAAGATGATCTCCAAGTTCCTTTTTGCATTGAAAAAGGAAAGAAATTCCAATTGGCTGGTTTATGGACTAGATATATTTACTATAAGACATTTAGCTACTAGAAGATACTCCTTCAGGACCAAGATTTTGAATGTACTTAGATGCTTTTCACTTAGAATCTTGGTAGAGTCAACTTGATATGTATATCTCTTTATATGTACTTGGAAATATATTAAGGTCCATGCCTTTATTTATTTCACATTATAAAATTGGTTGATTAATGAGTAGTAACTAAACTGATAGCAGTTGAGGGGTTATAGTTCTAAACTGATACTGATATACTAAAAATTTGATTTACATTACTGATAGGAGTTTTCATGTTGAAAGAGGCCCAACTTCTAGGTTCATGAAAGAAATTTATAGAATAGTCAAGAGTGACAATGGGGAAGAATTTATGAGATTTCTGCTCTTTTTTTCTCCTAGATTGCCTATTTACTTTGTATTTATTTGGCCATTAAATTTGACTTTGTAGTAGGATAATGATTTCTTTTGTCACAGCTATTTTTAAAAACCATTTATCCGTGCCAATCTGTGCACAGAATGGTATTCTAGCTTTCCAAGTCCATCCTGGCAGATGCCTTATCTGAGGCAGAACACTTACCAAGGTCTGGGTGGTGACAAACGTGAGAAATAACCATCACACAGACATCCAATGATTATTGACATCATACCATCATAATGTAAACATACTAACATATTACAGGTGATTTGTTCCAAACGGAGACTAGATGAAGGTGGAGACTCTTAGATTCTCTGTAAAGTCATTGTACGAGCTTTACAAGAAAAGATGAGATTTCAGATAATTTTTAAAATGGAGGATCAGTCTGTGATCTGGTAGTTAAGGGAGTTGGATCCCACATGGCTAGCCTAGACTGTGTGGGCTGGAAAAACACCTGGGCATGTTTGTGAGTGCCCCAAATCCTGACAGGATGGAGAAATGGAAGAGAGGGGATTGCTACATGACTACCCTCCACATAGGGGACTTTCTCCCTTTCTGTCTGTCTCCCTACCTCTGCCTGGCAAGTGCACACACCCTCTGGCAAAAGTATTTTTTTAAAATGGAGTTTGAAGGGTTCTACAAAAAATGCTGGAAAATAGGAAAAGAAGGGTAAACAACACAAGTAGATCATTTTATAGGCTAGGGAGGAGAAAAGAGAAGTGATTTATAATCTGGTATACCTTAATGGAAACAGCTTTGATGCAGGAATAACTGTACTTTTCAGCATGATAGGTGTTGAAAGAATCCCACCTCCTTTCCCTTTTCCTCTTTCTTCCTCTTTCTTATATGGACATTTCTTAACATGTCAATAATCTCCTCGCAGTGAAATCAGAGACACATGAAAATGGCAAAGTGAAACATGTAGACAAGTGGGACATTAGAGGGATTTGCTTTCATATTCTCTAACTGGAGTAACGGGCATGTGAAATTTTATCCTATGTGTAAAGTATCCACTTATGTAAAGTATTGGAGCCATATCTTGACTTTTCTTAGGTGACTTTGGATCTTTTAAATATACCCTTGAACTTTTTAGGAGACATGTCCTGTCTAAATCCCCAGTGTTTAGATTTAAATGTTGATCAATTATTTCCACCTGATATGAATTATTTTCATTCTTAGATAAGACCATATCTCAAATATGTATTAAAGTCTGCCTCCTACCAACCTACCCTCAAGAAGGCAGAAGCTTAGACCAAGGGGAAATCTGTACTTTTAAATGGATTTGATCCTAATCAAGTAATAGTTGGATCTTGTGTGTGTGCACACATGTGTGCATGTATGTGTGTGTATAGTGTTTTTAGGCAGAATCGTGCCCAATCTGGATCCTCCTGCCTCAGCCTCCTGAGTAGCTGGGACCATGGCATATAATGTCATGCCCAACTCTTTCAGACAGGGTCTCATTATGTTCCTACGCTGGCCCCAAATTGTCAGTCACCCTGCCTCAGCTCCCCTCGTAGGTGGGGCTACAGGTGTGCACCATGATGCCTGACATTTTAGGTTGGGCCAGCAATCAATCCTGGTCTCCCATGTGGGCTCCACTTGCCAAGCAGCAGCATCCAGTGCACTAGAGGAGCTAGTCTTGGTGGGGATCTTAACATCAGGATGCCCCTTATGCTCTTAGCATGATGATTAGAACTTGAATGCACTATTTCTAAGAACTCCTTATCTTTTAGGCACTGATTACATGATATTCCTGTTATGGGAAATCTGTTGTTGTCATAAGAGATTCTGAATATATCATTAAGTTGCTCTTTCTCTCTTTTATTTTTTTCCCCAATGTTACAAAGAAACAAAGGCCTTGGAAGTCTTATGAATGTTAACCGAAGCACTGACAAAAACAATAAAGGGTAAGTAGAATTCCTGTCTTAGTGGGCTCTCCTTTCTTTCAGGTTAGCTTTTTTACCATTTTTAAATTACAATTATTATTTTAGAGAGGCTTTTTTTGCTACAGGGTGCATGCACTCATCAGAGAGACAAAGAGAGACAGAGAGAAAGCAAGCAAGAAATCACCCCCCAGGGTAAATGGCCATACCACAATTCCTTCTCCTCTATTCTCCTCTCCAGATTTGGGGCATGCGCACATATGCGCCCAGCATGAGTTTCAAGTCTCTAGGTCTGGGACTTGAATTGTGATTGAATACATGAGAGTCCAGTGATGTAACCATTATGTCATCTGCTGGTCCCATTATTTCTTTTAATAATCAGTAACTCTGTATCATTACAGCATACCAAATGACTTTTCCCATCCTGAATACACTATATATGGGTTCAATCAAAGATATTACCAAACATATTATCAACAGATAATTTCCCATTTTTGTGTCCCTTCAATGTTTTACTTCTTTCTTTTTCCACCTTGATTCCTTCCCTCTCACCCTGCCTCATTTCCCACTCTCCTCCCACACGGTCTCTTGCATCCATAGTTGCTCTCCATGCCTTTTGTCATCCAATCTTTCAGTTTTTGCCACAGAGTAGAGTGCTTTTTACCACTTATACTTTGCTTCCCTGTCACAGATGAATGGCTGCACTGTTTAGACCTATAGGAAATGGTAGGGAAAAGGAATATCATAAGTGCTGTTTCCATAGGAGCACACGTTTGAGGTACATTAAAGCAGATGAAGAAAAACTCATTACATATTCTCTTATTTTATATGTTCTTAAATAATTTTAAAAATGAGCCAGATTTTTGTATTTAAGTTCAGAAATATAAAGGAAAAAAATTGTAAAGCAAGATGTACATTGGGAAACTTTTAAAAACTGATTTGGGCTAGTTTATTTCAAGCATTGCTGTAGAAATTAACAAAGGTAAATTAAGGATAATTGCTTCAAAAGTTTTTCTGGCTATTGGGTCCTAAAAGGAACCTATTTGTTTATGAAGATTTCAGAGAAAACTTTATGTAACCTAACTGACATAAAGTTTTGATATTTTTTTCAAAGAGGCCAAGACCTTGAATCCATTATCAAAGTGGAGGCCAAGACAGATAAAACCAACAGAGGGTCAGAGTTGCTTGGAAGTCTCTGAATCTTGGGTATTTTTCCTACACTAATTATGTGATATTTTCAGTGATATTAAGGACATCACATCTTTGAGTTTGTCTTCTCTGTTCTGCGTCTGATCCCTGGTGCCCTGATTTTCACTTCAAAGTGCCTGCAATACATTCTATCTAAATTTACTTTTACATGTAGCCCGATAAAATCCTAGAGATGAGCTTAACTATATTATCAATAGGTAATACGTATACTAAAAGTTAATATCAATATAATCCCCCCTGGACTAGCAAATAGGGTAGTGGTTATGTTGTCGAACACCCACATGACCAACCACAGTTCGAGTCACAGACCCAGTAGCTTCAAAATCACGCTAGGCCTATGTGTGTGCATGCCCAAGATCCTGTAGTGAATGGAGGAGAAAGGACTGCGGCATGGCCATCCCCCTAGGGGGCTGATTTCTCTTTCG